TTAAATAAATTAACAATTTAGAATTGTTAATGTGCAACAATTAATAGAAAATTCTAAATTATAAAAATATGGTATTTTCGTGTAATTTTTGAAAAAATATATTTAAGACAGAATTCGTACTAGTTACACATGAGAGAGTTAGTAATGAGGCCGTGAAAATAGAAAAATCTAAATAAAAATAACTTACCAAAATAACATGATTTAAACTGAGATTCCCATCAAACACTACTTATTTTATTAAGATGCATAGGGATATTTCCTTTATTAGGGATAGAGATAAACACAGTATAGGCCCAAAAGAAAAGAAAAAAAAAAGAAACAAAGTAAAAAAAACAAAACGCAGGTAAAAATTGCAAGACAACACGTGGCGCCCAAAAAGCCCCTCAAACCTAGGATTATTAAGGGTGTGATTGTTTATGAATTCAACTAGTTTTTATTTGGTTTGTTTTTTAACTATAGTTAACTTTGGGAAAAAATAGTATGGTTAGTTGTTAGTGGATGCATTAAATTAATATTTAAATAAAATAATTAAAGTTGATTTGACATAAAGTAGGAAAAAAATGATTGGAAGTGATGGTTAGTTAAAATTATGTGAGTGGATGAATAGTGAATTACAGTTGATGTGATGTATAAAAATGATTGGTTGATATTATTTAATTATATTGATAATATGAGATATAGTGGGGTTGGGTTAGAGTTGAGTTAAATTTGAGTTTTGATTGATTTTTACTGTTGAAACTATAAACAATCGCCCCCTAAGATGTATAGGTGATAGGGGAAGAGGAAGATTTTGTACCAGAACCATTTATATATATATATATATATATATATATATATATAGAGAGAGAGAGAGAGAGAGAGAGAGAGAGAGAGAGAGAGAGAGAATGTTGGGATATTAAATCTCATGAAATTAGGTAACAAATCTAAATAAATTACTCTTAGTAATTTTACAAATAAAATTGATAATCTCGTAGAAATGCAATAAAAGTTATGTTGTATCGTGGAGTAATGTTCCCCTACCCACGGTGGGCACATGTTAATATGCCCACTGTGGATGTGGCATGCACACATTGGTGATTTTAATATGTTCAAAAAAATTACATCACCAATGTATGCATGCCACATAAGCGGTAGGCATATTAACATGTGGCCACCGTGGGTATGGCGCATTACTCTAAATAATTTTCTCTTTTTATTTTCGTGGCCCAAAATATTGGACTAATTAAATGTAATGGGCTTGGGCTGGTCAAACTCATTGGATCTTCTCAGTGGTCTGGACTTTGTCTGGATTCTAGAAAGTGGCTACTCGCTTATCAACTCACTCCTTAAAATCGTTTGAAGAACACAGAAATTTTATAATGGCGTCGGTCTCTATTCTGGGTTCTCAGCTCGCCCAAAATCCTCAGTAAAACCTCCCGTCCGCCCATTTGCAATGCATTCAAGAATGACCGAGCTCTTCATAAACCGAGGTAAAATCGCCATTAAATTGTTTCTCATCTCATTTTTGTTTGATTTTTTTTGGGCGATATGTTAAAATCATGGTGACCTAGTCCTTAGTTCTTCTGTATATAAGTTCCATTTTTATTCTTTGAAGGAATTTTGTTAGCTTCTTTGCCATGTTTTTTTTATGTATTTTTCTGCTTCCATGCGTTTTTGGTGCTTTGCAGCGTTGAGGTATCACCTTGAGCTGAGACCATTTTGCCTGTACAATCTGTGCAGAAGATTGTCTTGTTCAAATGATGGGCCCTCAAATATGGATGTTCACGAAAAATTTAACGAACCCTTCAAGGAAGGGAATCAGGCAGGTTCTGAAAATAATGAAGGGCATGGCCAGGTTTTGAGGAAACATGAATTTGTTAAGAAGGAGGTCGAGAATGTGTGTCGAATTTTAGAGAGTGGCCCTTGGGGACCCTCATTAGAGAAAGCTCTATCCTCTTGTGTTCACACACCGCAGCTGGATATCACCATTGGTGTTTTGAGGAGAATGAAGGATGCCGATTCGGCTCTTAGTTACTTCAGATGGGTTGAGCGGGCAACCGATCAAGTTAATCCCCCACAAACCTACAATGCCCTCCTCATGCTAATGGCGAGGTGTAAAAAGATCGACAAAATTGAAAACATTTTGGAAGAAATGAGCCTGGCCGGATTCAGCCCATCTTTCGAGACGAGCATAGAGTTAATTTCCAGCTTTGTGAGGGCCCGGAAATTGAGAGATGCTTACGATATTTTACAATCCATGAGGAAGTTCAAAATCCGACCGGCATTTTCAGCCTACACGACCCTCATAGGTGCATTGTCTTCAGTCCATAAGCCCGAGTACCCAGACCTCATGCTTTCTTTATTCCACCAGATGCAGGAATTGGGCTATGAAGTTAATGTTCATTTATTCACAACTTTAATCCGCGTGTTCGCACGGGATGGCCGTGTGGACCCTGCCTTGTCCTTGCTGGCCGAGATGAAGAGTAACTTGTTGGAGGCCGATATTGTCCTTTACAACGTGTGCATCGACTGCTTCGGTAGGGTTGGCAAGGTCGACATGGCTTGGAAATTCTTTCATGAGATAAAGTCGCACGGGCTCAGGCCCGATGATGTGTCGTACACTAGCATGATTAGTGTTTTGTGCAGAGCCAATAGAATGGACGAGGCCTCTGAGTTATTCGAACAAATGGAGCTGAATCGGGAAATCCCCTGCGCGTACGCTTATAGTACCATGATCATGGGCTACGGATCTTCTGGAAGGTTCCGTGAGGCATACGGTCTGCTCGAGAGGCAGAGGATGAGAGGGTCCATACCCAACGTGATCGCTTACAACAGTCTCCTCACCTGTCTTGGCAGAAAAGGAAAAATGGAGGAGGCATTGAGTATTTTTAACGATATGAAAAAGGATGCTATGCCCAATCTCACGACCTGTAACATACTCGTGGATATGCTTTGCCGGGCGGGAAAAGTTGAGGAGGCTTTAGAAGTACAGAACGACATGAAAAATAGTGGCTTGGCCCCGAGCATAATGACGGTCAACATCATGATTGACCGTCTGTGCAAGGCGAACAAGCTCGACGAGGCCCACAAGATTTTTGATGGCCTGGACAGACGAACTTGCAGCCCGAATAAATTCACGTATTGTTCGTTGATAGACGGCTTGGGCCGACATGGGAGGGTGGACGAGGCCTATAGGTTGTATGAAGATATGCTCGACACACCCGATGGGGCACCGGACGCGATTGTCTATACGTCCCTCATAAGGAGCTTTTTCAAGGCATGCCGGAAGGAGGACGGTCATAAAATCTACAAGGAGATGGCCCGGAAAGGCATCAGTCCAGACCTCACCCTCCTCAACACCTACATGGACTGCGTTTTCAAAGCCGGGGAGACTGAAAAGGGTCGCGCCTTGTTCGAGGAGATAAAGGCCCGGTTCACACCCGATGCCAGGAGCTACTCAATTTTGATCCACGGACTAATAAAAGCGGGTCTCGCACGCGAGACTTACGAGCTTTTTTATGCGATGAAGGAAAGCGGGTGCGTACTCGACACAATGGCTTACAACACCGTGATCGATGGGTTTTGCAAATCAGGAAAAGTGAACAAAGCTTATCAGCTTTTAGAGGAAATGAAGGCAAAAGGACACCAGCCAACTGTGGTCACGTACGGTTCGGTTATCGACGGGCTTGCCAAGATCGACAGGCTGGATGAGGCTTACATGCTATTTGAAGAAGCAAAATCGGTTGGTGTGAGATTGAACGTTGTTGTGTACAGCAGCCTAGTGGACGGGTTTGGAAAAGTGGGCAGAATAGACGAAGCTTATCTAATTATAGAGGAAATGATGCAAAATAATATAAATCCCAACATCCAAACGTGGAATTGCCTGCTCGATGCCCTTGTGAAGGCCGAAGAAGTGGATGAAGCCCTCGTGTGTTGGAACTCAATGAAGGACTTGAAATGCACACCTAATATCGTGACATATGGAATTCTAATAAACGGGCTTTGCCGGGTTCGGAAATTCAACAAAGCATTTGTGTTCTGGCAAGAAATGCAGAAACAAGGGCTGAAACCTAATGCGATCACTTATTTAACGATGATTTCAGGGCTTGCGAAGGCTGGGAATATATTTGAGGCCGATAAGCTGTTTGAGAGATTTAAAGCAAATGGGGGTGTGCCCGATTCGGCATGTTATAATACCATGATCGAAGGCTTGAGCTTGGCAAACAAGGCAAGTGAAGCGTACAGGCTATTTGAGGAGACTAGGATGAAGGGCTGTAGTATATATACGAAGACTTGTGTGGTCCTTTTGGATGCTTTGCATAAAGCCGATTGTCTGGAGCAGGCTGGGGTTGTGGGGGCCGTGTTGAGGGAAACGGCCAAGTCACAACATGCTTCTAGGTCATTGTGATTTTAGTTGAGATTGTGTTTTTTTCTTAAAACAATATATGATCTTTTGGATCTGATTTGACCTCCATTGGTTAGCTGAAGGAAGAATGGATGACAGCGAAAAGCTAAAATGGAAAGGGTTATGATTATTCAGAGTATATGAGCTGATCGGCTTGGACTGTGGATGGTTAACACAGTCTCAGAGGTTTAATTTTAAGCTTATCAATCCGACGTTTAGGTGAAAGCTTGAATATGGAAATTGCCTTATCATTGAGTTCAGCGTGAACGGATTTGTGGAGCTAAAGGTTGAAATGGAAAGGGTTATGATTATCAGAGTGTACATGCTGATCGGCTTGATTTGTGATGGCGAACGCAGCCTCAGAGGTGTGCTTTTAGGTTACCAATCCTGAGTTTAGTGAAAGCTTAAATATGGAAATTGCCTTTTCATTGAGTACTACGTGAAAGGATTTGTGGTCCTTGTTCTTGGTATCATGCCTGCATTTGTATTTTCGACCAACTTTTTATCATATTATCATCGAGTTCCTTCTTTTCTACAAGAACATCAACTTTTTTTGTTGCTGAATATTAGGAACAATAACAAGGGCTACCCTTGACCTTTTAGATTGCCATACACCTCAAAAAATCAGGTTCACTTTAAAATATTATAACCACCCCTGATGTCTACAAATTAAGACTAGTACAGTACCCATGCGATGCACGAGGGCTTATTATCTCTGTCTCTTTTAAAAAAACATTTTTTAGTTAAAATTAAAAGTACTTACTAAAGAAAAGAGCAGGTCATTAATAATTAAAAAATTAATAAATATAAGGAAAATAAAATCTATATATTATTGAGCATTGTCTTCTATACAACGTTTAGGTTTGATTTTTTGGCACGTCATATTCTTCACAAATTAGGATTGTCAAACCATTTCTGTTTGTGATACGGGAGACAGCAATATACAACTGATCATGATAAAACACTGTTTTCTTAAGAAATAAGCCCCACATGCAAATGATTGTCACAGCTCTTATTTATAGTCATGTCATAATAAACCATAATGGAAAACTATGGGAAACTACCAACGCTGGAACTTGAAAGGAATTCTAACATCAGAAAAAGTTACAGCCATTTTTGGAATCAACACTTTATCACCTGCGTGATCGTCAATGAATATCTTACACCCAAGAACGTGAGTGGAGAACTTTGTCACAACCAATCGTATCCCATTACACAGACCCATAGAAGAGATATAGTTACTAAAAATAAATTAAAAATGATCGGATTAGCTTAAGAAATAAGATCATGCTTATCAAGGTGATATAATGTTTACCAAAATTAATGGAATTTGT